AAAAAGAGGAAGAATAAATCAGTTGCCGAAATATTTGCAAAGTCTATTTCTAGATGTAAAAAACGAAGATTAAAAAGCAAAAAGTCCCACTCATTTTTCAATGCCATACATCTTAATACCCGCAAAGAATAATCCATTACAAAAGGCTAAACAAACAGATAGATGGGTGAGTAGGAAGTCAGCTATATGCATAGACAGCCGGGCAGATAGATTGCTAGAGAGACGAAAACATAGGTGAATAGAATGAATAAACCAACTAATGTTGTGTTAAAGACCAATGCTGCACTGTTGGTCAGCGAGTGCAAAAAAAACATGTTAGTTTGCAACAAAACCAAATTAGGCAAACTAACAGAACCTCTCATAAAAATCCATGGTTCAGCGTACAAATACACCTGAAGATTATTTTAAAGTAACCAACATATTTGTTGATCATCGCTGGACGGTGTGAACCACAATCACTGTACGTACAACCAGCAACAACAGAGAAAGTGATAACTACCACACTAAAGGCGGAAAGCAAAAATGCTAACGTGTTGTTGTCGCTGCCATTGCTGCTGCCGCCGGTGATGCTGCTGATGCTGGTAACGCTGCCATGAAAACGATCAACCATACACAAACATACTAATAGATTGCTTTCCTGCGTCCAACAGCTTCACAACATTACTACTTCATACGCTCTTCCTTTTTCTCTATCCCCCTCCCTTCTTCTCCTTTAAGTTCACATTAACAAAGCTTCTATATGTCCTGATCAAAGCGAAAAATGCACGCAGTTCTGTAAAATCGTATGTAATTCTTCCGTCGAAAAAAGCTTGAGGTAGCGCAATGATTCTAGTTACCGACAGAAAATGCATGTAGGCATAAAAAATTGTAAAAACACGAAACCAACGTCCAAGCTGAACTGTGGGTTCGTTTACACATGGAGACTAGTGCTTTGTCAAAATCTTACTTAAAACAGTAAAGTATATTCAAGTAACCATCACTTTTTCCTTTTTGAGTTAAAACAAACTTCTTGCAGCTAGCTAACTGGTGAAAATTCAAACTCGTAATTTAAATCGAATACTTGAACTTTACTAAAAATTTAGGCTCACAGCGACTATTCAGCATCCCATTACTTACCGAAAAATTCTTTGCTGCTTTCTCACCTAGCCGAGCCTTTGAGAAGAAAACATGTATTCAGTACACTCCTCTACATCTTTCCCATAATGCTTTAAATCATTCACCACATCTTTAAACAGCAATTTTTTTAAGCTGTGTGAATGATGGCTAATAAACTGGATAAAGATACCACATGCAAATGTTATTCCATCAGAAAAAAAAACAAATTGAAAAAACAGCTACATTCCTGAAGAATCATACCTTAAAACGACGATTGTTTGAAAACCATCACAGTATCCCTAATTAATGCTTTTCTTATTGCATAAAACCAGAAAATTCACTAAAACATTTTGCAAAAAATAGGAACAAACACTGAA